AGGGGATTATGACTGAAGTCAACAGCTCAATAATCTGCCATTTCAAAATCCGACATCGCTGACCTCTTGAATAGGCGCATGGTGTCATTTAGAAAATGGAGGGCCACGTTGAGTACTGGCCACCTTAGGAGGGAGGCTGACGGTGTGGACTCCCAAGTCAGAAGGGAAAACCCAAATTCAGTGTCATGATAAATTACAGGTAACCTGCCTAGGAGAGAAGTGGCATCTAATCCCGATAGCGATACTGATACTTGCCAACCACCCCAATATAAAAGCACTAAAACAAATAAAACTAACGGCGAACTTCTCCCATGCTGGAAAGCGAAAAGAACCAGTGTCTATGATGTCTACAAAGGAAAAGGTGCCTGAAACTTGCCCTTGCCCTGTGTTACAAATCTCTAACCGCTTACTCTGTTGGCTAGGAGTCTGCAAAGATTACAGCCCCATGCCATTCAGCAAGGCCCTTTAGTGTGGGGGGGCACTCGCAGGGAGAGCCTTGATAAATCTCAGGGTGTCAGACCGGGATTGGGATTCCTTATTTCACTTCCATCAGTCACTCGTGTGGCCTTGGTGAAGCCAGCTTACTTCTCTGTGCCTTAGTTTCCCCATCTGTGCAAAGGTGGTGGTCATGCTTGTCTGAACCCATAGATTTAATTGCATTGTGCAGAAGATGCTTAGAGCCTCTCCTGAGCAGTGCGTTTTGTTTTATTTTTGATCTGGCAATAAAATCACATCTAAAGGAAGGAAGGGTCCATGGGATGTGCTTGTCTTCCCACGTCCCTTTGCTTGCTCAGCCAGCCTGGAATTAGGACGCTCTTTGCAGAAGAACAAGAGACGTTCCCAATGATTAAGAAATCAGCATTAAAAACTAGCTCGGCGGGTACTGGGGAGGATTCCTGAGCGCTGTATAAAATGATTTAAAACTCATTTGTCAGACTGATGCCAGCTTCCCTAGAGGGAGGCTTGGCAAAATGGGGCTGTGCTGCATGTTCAAATAAAGCATGGAGGATTTATATTTAATGTGAAGCCAATCAGACCGCTCCTACATTGATATATTAATTCCAACCAAGCTCTTGATATCATTTGATGCTTTGCTACAACAGCACGTCGAGGAGACTTTCAAAAGGAAGAATGGCTCTTTGTATTTTTCGAAACCTTATGGTTTTGTAATGTTTAAAATCTTCAGTATGAAATTCAACCGGGAAATGGATGGGCTTCTGAGGGTAAGCGATTCGAAATCACGAACATTCAGCCAGAGGCAGGAACTTTGAAATCAAGTTGTACTTAATAATAATTTTAGAAAAACCATCCTGAGGTTGAGTGTGGTGAGATGCCGATACAGGTTTTCATCACAGCAGAACCGTAAAACCCCCAAGATAAGAGTGAACTGCCCGGTTTGCCAAAATGCTGGTATGATACTGGTCTGAATTCTCCATGTTGTTGGGTATTGGTGAGAAAACTGCTGTTTTTGTTGCCTGTTGGCTGGGATCAATATAGTCTTAACTGCTCGGGTACCATAGTGTAGCAGTCCATGAATGGTGAGATCCATGTTTTTTTACCTTTTCCATACTTGTAACCACCTCTGCATCCAAGGTTGTCATTACAGAAAACGTTGACCCTGCAGTACCTGTTATGGACCCCCCCTCCAACACCCATGTCCAGCTGGAAACCCCTGGATTAGACTGATACAAGGCCTGGTACTGAACATGCTTATACTGGTATTTGACTGTAGTAATACCAGTATACAAATAGAGCAGACCCGTGACAAAGAGTCCCAAACCAATGTTGCTCGCTAAAACCCAACGCTGAGTTACCCGTCCTGGTATTTATCCGATTCAACTGACCCCTGGGCTAGAAAGGGATCTGCTCAGTGCAGGGCCTACTTCTGCTAGATGGGAGGACATGGCATATTCAACCCTCCTGTCTGCCAGGCTTCCCCGAGCAGTGATGTCAGTACAGAGTATTTGCCCTGACATTCACAGAAATTAAAAACTCACAGTCCATGAAACTCTTCTAATTTCTCAATAATCAGTGGAAAGCAGGGTGTTTTTGTTTGGTGGTTTTTTAAGTTAAAAAAAAAAAAAGTACTTTGACCCACTTTGGACTAGAATCAGTCGAGGATTAGATAGAGGAGGAGCTGACTGTTAGGCACAGGGCCCTCAGACTACGAGCTGGAGCCCCGCTTTCCAACAGCTCATGCCTCTTCACCACAGGAGGATGGGTAGGTAGGTACCTCCACCCCGAGAAGCTGGAGTATGCTCAGCATGCACCGGCTTAGCGCTAGCCAGTAGGCAATACTCTCGGTTTGCAGAGTGCTGGGATCCACTTGGAGGAAGGTGCTTTCTCCCTCACCTTGGCCAGAGGAGGACTGGCCACTGCCCCATTATAGATAACAGCCCAGAGCCTGGCTTTATAAATGAGCAGGGGCCAAGCCATGCTGTCCAGCCACTCTGGCCTGACTCTCACCCAGAAATAGAGGCCAGCTTGAGCTAGCCCCGCAGGAGGATGATGTTCCACTTAACCGAGTCTCGGCAGGGAATGCGGCTCGTGCTGCAATGCAACGGCAGAACGGGTCAGGTCTTTCACATCATGCACTGAGCCCGACACAGTCCAGCTAGCAGAGCGGCCTGGGAACTCACCTGCTGTTCTTCAGATTTACGGCACAGACAATGGAGCTTGCAAAGGGCTTTGCCAATAACAGGCAAACATGCTGGCGCCTGTATTGTTTTGGCACTGGAAAGGTAGCGCCCTTGATGAGAGAGCATTGTCTGCTGGAGACTGTTCAAGAGAGATTACTGTGCGTGTACACACAGAGCACAGCCCCTTGTATACACACGCGCATTCGTGCCCCTACAGAGTCAGAAACCCACTACCAACACATGCAGCTCTTCCTTGTCTTACCCTTTCCTCACCCTCTTTTCATGCAGGGGTGCTTAATGTGGATTTCCAGTCCCTTCAAACTCCTTATCTGAGTTCTGCTTTTGAATGGATTGACTGCTTGCTATAAGTGCCAGCCCTGGAGTCCTGATTGAATTCATAGATTTCATAGACATTAGGGCTGGATGGGACCTCAGAAAGTTATTGAGTCCAGCCCCCCGCCCAATTCACACCAGATCTCAGTGGGGCCTTGATCTCCGCGTTCTCTTCCCTCTGGGCACGTTTACACGTGTGTTTATGGTGCATTAAATTTAGTCTGCAGTAAATTACTATGCAGTAAGCAGAAATAGGCCGGCGTCTACACATGCAGGCGTTAAAGTGCAGTAACGTGTGTGGTCTGACTTGGGACTAAAGATAGTCCCACCCAAGTCAGTCCACGCCCGGTGTTACTGCGCAATAAGGCGTCTACATGTGCATTACTGCACAGTAACTAATTGAGCATAAATTGATACCTGCATCATGCAGGTATCAAATTTATGCCCAAGTCAGCATAAGTTGCCATAGTTACTGGACAGCATGAGCATGCACGTGCAGACACGTGCCCGTACTGCATGGTAATGTTAGGTTCCTGCATAGTAATTTAGGTTATGTGCACGTGTAGACATGCCCTCTTTGGCTCATCCCACAGCTGGAGGGACTGCCCCAACTGGATAATGAGAGCAAAGAAATGATGGATACTTAACAGGCGGGTTTGCCCTGTTGGGTGGAAGGAGATGCTTCCAAAGCTAGAAAGAAAGAAATGGGTCAGTGAAGAGAAGAATGATAAACCAGAAAAGGAGAATTATGCCCCACTGAAGCAACAGGGAGAAAGAATCAACAGGTCAAAAATAATGACTTTACCAATAGGTGTTTTGTTTTGAAACAAGACCTGAAATAGTAACATGGGGCGGTGGGGGGGTCATGTTCTAGGAAAAGGCAGAACCATTTGGGGGTGACATTTTTCCAAGCCATTTGAGCCTAGGGGGAAAAACAAATGTGACTTGGGAAATAACAGCCTGGAAGGAGAAAGTGTGGCAGTTATGAGCAACCTAAAACATGCTTTTAGAGTAGGAAAACTTACTAATAGATGTCGCTGCCCCCCTGTCTGTTATAAGGTACAGATCCTAACCTGGATGGGGATCTTTACCAGTGTGTGCACATCCCCTGGATGTAGAGTCCTAGAAACATAGTACAGGAGATCGTGTGCGCGCCGGGCATTGCTGCGCTTCCTTTTTTCTTGTGAATAACATGCGGTAGTATCTAAATGCAGTTTAATTAAGCTAAAAACCAAGGCTGATGCAGCAGAGATGGGGATCCGAAGAGATGAGAACATGGGGATTAACATGCTCTTAGATGCTGGCTTGCTCACTTTGTGCACGCGGACACCGAGCGCAGCTGTGCCCTGGCGCTGAGTGGAGACAAGAAAGGGAGAAGCGCTAAATGCACTTCTGGATCATCAGCCTTCCCAGGACTTCAAGCATGTGATAGTTGTTTTTTTTATTATCATTGCTGTAGTGCTCATCCTCCTCCTCCTGCTCCTCATCCTCATGGTGGTTGCAAAGGATCTGGGAGCATCCTCTTACCTTGCAGCACAGTGGCACTGGTGAGGTAAGCACATACCTGTTTTACAGAGGAGGTGACTGATTAGAAAGCAAATCACTGCCAGCTCCCCCTGCCCTCATGTGCTTCCTGCTAGACCCGAGCACAGGCCAGACCCCCAGAGCTGTGCATCCCAGCCCCCCACCCCCTTTGCTGCCCCTCTCCTGGCTGCCCCGGGGGCTCTGCTTTCAGTCTGGCTCCTTGCACAAATTCTACAATAGCACCGGCCAGCTGCTACCATTTCAGGTTTTGTTTCACAAACACCCCCGTATGAGGTTATGAATGCTGCTTTAGTCATTTATCAGTGGATTAACTTCTTTCTGAGTGTATTTAAAAATAAAAATAAAAAAAAGTCCTGCATGTTTTCAGTGGCTTTGGCCACTGCCCCACTTCTCATGTTATCGTCTAAGTGTAGCTGATTGCTTCCCATAGTTATGTGCCAAGCTGAGCCTGGCAGGCAGGACAGGCATGGGTGGTTAGAGAGAAAGGAGGATGGAGGGGCAGTGCCGCGTGAAGCACTGGGTGGAAAACAAGGTCTGAGGAATAGCTTCTGCCACCAGAGCAAAACCCAGCAAATCTTGTGCCAAGTCCCTGGGAAAGACCGAGGCATCCTTGCTAAGCCTGCACTGCATCGCGCGACGGCTTGGGGATGGGACTACAACATGTTATTTTATATGGCTTTTCCCTCTCGGGCTCCTTAATCCCTTCGGGATACAATTAAGGCACAAGTCTGAGGCCAAGGTAACTATGGCATCCAAACATCAGCTGTCACCGGCACCGGGTACCAATAAAAGGCAGGCCAGCCAAGAACCGGGGAGACTTTTTCATGAGCATCCTAATCCGTTTGCCATTTCTGCAGCACCGGTGCTTCCAGGCAGAGGACATTGCAAGTGAGCAGAACAAGAGGTAGGGACACAGGCTCGCTCTCGCGCTCTTTCTCTCGCTCGCTCTCTCAGCTTATCTCAATACCGAACCATTAAACAGAGCAAAATCTTGGCGGGGGGAGGGAGCGGAGGGGGGGAAGACGGTCTCATTATCTGCTCTGTGCTGTGCCTGTGGCAGCTGGTCGGCCCGTACATTAATAGATTACATTGAGGATTTGCGATTGTTAACAGCAAAGGGGGCTTGAGCTGCCTACATTCGGGGGGAAAGGCCGCCGCGGCTCACTGCTCCAGTGGAGGACGCATCTTTGGAAGGGAACTGCACTTTTTTCTCCCCCCCCACCATCCCCTCCTGCTAGCACATTTTCTGGCCAGGTAGGTGCCTGACTTATTTTCAAAGCATTATTATTGCAGCTCTTCATTTCTAAGAGGATGGGGAGACTATGTCGTCGCCGTCCCCCCTCCCCTCCTTCCCTCCAGGGGAAGCCGGGTGAGCGTGTCAAGTGTGTACTGGTATTGATTTGCCTGCATCTCTTTGTCATCGCAGCAGCTGCGCCAGGCTGCTGTTTGCTGGCACTGCGCGGTGCAAAAGTCTGGGGAGAAGCGAGGGCTTCCCGCACCATCGGCGGCTTGTGCCTCCTGCCTGGGCTCCCAGGCCAACCCACAGCTGCCGCCGTGTCCCAATTCCCGTGCATTTTTATTTTTACAGCCAGGGAGGGGTGGTTCTGCAGTGCCCAGCCCAGCCGCCTGCGCGCGGGGATGGGATGGGGGCAGCCGAAAGTTCCCTGGTATCAGGCTCTCACTGCTGCTTGGTGGTGGTGTCATTGCGGGGAGATATTTTTTTCCCTGCTTGTTGTGAGCCCGAGCGGTGGTGGAGCGCGTTTCAAACAGGCTAGACAAGAGGCTTCCTTTCCCAGCATCTGAGTTGATGGTGGCTGCGGCCTTGGGCTGCAAGGGTGAGTATGGGTGCTAGGCTTGGGTCACGTCTGTCCCTTCTTGGCCACAAAGCTGCTGTGGGTGAGGATAGTTTCCAGCTCCCCCGCTGTCCCGTCATGGCAGGATGCAACAAGACCGCGCAAACCCTGCGGCCACGCCAGCCGGGAATGGGCTGAATGGAGGCTGCGACCATGATAGAAGGGGCTGGTTTGGGGTGAGTGCAGCCTTCCCACTGCTGGAGACCATAGACAGGAGGAAAAAACACCACCGTGCACTGGGACCGCCGTGTCTTGGGCAAGCAGCGGGCTGGAGCTGATGCACAAAGCGCCCCGCGATGAGCCCTTTTGCTCCCCATCTTCCCATCGCTGTCCTGGGGGCCAGTGATGTCAGTAAACCCCCTGCAAAGGATTGTCAGCCCCCATGGCTGAGACGCGAATGCCTCCAGGCTCCCAAGTGCCCTCCTCCTCCGGTGGCACAGTTGGCAACGGTGCACCGCGGTCTCCGCTTTGCACATCTTCGTGCACACGCTCGGGGGGGAACGCACCAGGCAGGGCACCGGCTCTGCTGTGCCCAAGCCAGGAGGGACCTGCCGGGGACAGACGAACATCCCAGGGGATGCTGTTGCCTATGTTTGCGCCCAAAAGGATGTTCCCTCCTGAGTCAGGCTGGCCGCTTGTGTCTACCAGCGTCGGGAGCCGGGCCTTTGCCGTGCCTCTGTTTCCCACTACCCATCTGCTTTCTCCTACATTGGGTATCTCCCTTTGCACCTCTGTCCTCTCCGTTCTGCACGCCTTTCCGTGCTCAGCACCAGCGGCTCGTGGCCTGGTGCTGGAGGGGTTGCCAGTGCCCATGTTACATGGCAGCCGTGCCTGCGTGTTGGCACGGGGCACTGGAAACATGAGCAGCACGAGCTGGGCTTGCAGGAAAGCACCAGCCCCGTGTCCAGCCAGCGGAAGTTATATTGCAACGGTGAGAAACGCGCTCAGGTGAAGCCGGTCTGAGCCAGATGCCCCAAGAGCCTGCTCTCTCCTGTATGGCATCTCAGGCAATACTCTGGATTGCCTGAGCATAAATGCCATTCGTTACAAGGAGGCCTGGATCAGGCCATTGGCGAAGGCAAACTTTGCCTGGGTCTAACTTCGGGACGCCAGGGCATCCGTGCACCCTCCTGGCGGCCCTTCACCCTTGATAATATATTTCCCTTCAGGTGCACACAATTGGTTTATTGGTTGCACTCCACCTAAAGCAATAACCAAATCCATATGGTAATCAAATCTGACCTGGGTCTCAGCGGTTGCGTGTTTTAATGCTAATGCTTCTGTCAGGGTATGCAAAGCATTGAAGCCTTGCTGCAGGCTATAAGAGCTGCTTGTTGTTGTGGGGTAGGGCTCCCACGTACTTGAACTTGGCCAGGGTAAAGTTGCAAAGGTAGGTGCCCTTCTCTTCTGATGGGATTAAAAAAAAGCAAGGCAGTAATCGGTAGGACTGGCTTCTAGGCAAGGGGTTTTATGATGAATGCTTACCCGTGACAGCGCTAGCAGGCCATCTGGTGCTACGGGCAGTGGCTGGGGCAGTTTCCACTTGCAGAAGTTTGTGCCCACAATTGTTTGCGTGTGTGGGTCGGAGGGCATCCTCACCACGGAGGCTTGTGTCCGCAGGACCCTAGGTGTGGTCACACCTGACGCCAGGGAGGCAGGGACTCGGTCCTTTGAAAGTGCATTGCCCCAAGGAGCCGGGGAGGGATTCTCTCTCTGGAGCCCAAGTCGGATGGAGAGGAGATGCTGCGTGGCCCAAATCCGCCCCCCTGCCCACCGGCGTTTAACACGGAGAAACCCAGCAGAGGAGCCAGGACCTGAGGACCCAGGAGGGCAAAGCTGAGGCATGAGGGTGGCCCAGCGTGCGAGGGGAGTGTGTCTCGCTGCGAGCTGTGCCACAGCTGTTGTGTAGGTGCCAGGGAAGTGAGCATGCCCAAGGCCAGGCTGGGAGATGGAGGGTGTTTTACACACCCGTGAATTGTGCAGAACAGACCGAGGCAGAGGCCGTCGTACGTGTGTGCACACTACAATTAGCTGCGGTGCTGCAATTCGCAGATGAGGCCACGAAGGACCTTTGCAAGTGGGGAGGCCGATCTGCATGGCACGGCCAGGCAGGACTTCCGAAATGAAAGCCTGTTTGCACGAGAGCAGGGGTTGTTGAAACACTCGGGTGTGTAAATGTTCAGGGCCAGAGGAACCACGGCGAACCCGGGAAAGTTATTCCAATAGCCAACCGCTTCAGTCGTGAAAAATGCGCACGGTTTCCCATCCTATAAGATTATAAAATGGTCCTTTTGTTGTATGCTCAGTGGGCCAGATCCTGACTTGGTGTAAATCAGCACTCTGGCTTAAATCATCCACGCACCTAGGTCTGATGCCTGCCTTTGTACCCGTATCACTGAGCACCTGACTCCTCCCAGCATCCCAGCCGTTTGAGCGGGGCTCCCTGCGCCGTCCCGCTGGGGTCCAGCCAGAGGGGTGGGAGCTGCCTCACGTGGGCCCGTTAGAGACAGACGAAACCACTCGTGACGCTCTGTGCCTGCGCTGAAATAAAGCAATCTGGTCCTTTCTTTTCTTGGCTTGAAAGCTGTGCTTTCAGAGAGGTGTCAGCTGTCCAAGAGGCAGGCGGGGAGCCCTCTGTGCCTCCGTACATTTGATGCCTGTAGCTCCTTGATGCCAAGCGTCACGTTCACATGGACCCTGGGGGCCTGTTTCTCTCCATCCAGGTCCTCGTCCAGCCTCGGTGCTCCTGCATCTGAGCGCCCAGGCTGCAGGGATGGCCCGAGGCTGGGAGACTCGGGTCGTACAGCGTGTCTGTAATGCAGTCAGGTTTTTGAGCCCTGGGCCCGTGCTGTAACCACTAGTCTCTCCTCCTGCCCACTGTGTAAGGGCTTAGACCAAAGGAAGGTGCATCCTGCCAGGACGCCGGGCTGTCCGGACGCCAGGAATTAGGTTGCCTTCATGTCTGCTGCAGCAGCTGGCTCCAGCCTGCATTTCCCCTTTGCCAGCCCTGGCCTCAGACTGCCTGGTGCCTCTACAAGGCCTCCTGGATGCCTGCACGCATGTCCTGGGTGGGTCAAAGCAGAAACCTTGAGGGAGGGATTTCTTTCCCAGGTAACCAAATGCAAACCTTCCCTTGGCTGCTGCAGGATGTGGGGTGGGTTTGTCTCATCAGGGCATCCCTCCTTGCTTCTCTCTGCCTACCCAGATGGCTCGCATACACAAGCTCTTCCTTTGACTGCATTGCCCTGCTATGGGCTCGGCGTCTCCTTCGACCGAGGCACACAAAGCCAAGAGTTTCCCCATCAGCCAGCCCCGGGACATCCTTCCCCCTAGGCAGGCAGGGCTCTGAGGGACAGGGAAGGGGAGGGTTGCACACCCATCAGCACTTAGCCTGTGATTGCACCAGCAACAGCATCCAAAAAAAAAAAAATCAATCATCCCTCTACCAGCTGCGGGCCCACCTCACCACTCCCCGAGCAGCACGCAGGAGCATTTGCCAGTCAAATGCTAGCAGCAGAGGATGTGCACTATGCAAAGTGCCAGCTTTCCCCCATCACCCCAGAAATTATCCCCCCCCAAAAAATCCCTGCTTCACTGTGCACTGCAGGCACCAGCCAGGGGTAGCTCCTTGCTGGCAGCTTGGGAGACTTACAGGGTAAGCATCCAAAACAGCCACCGCTAGTGCAGTTATGGTGCATCCAGTGTCAAGGTACCTGGGCAAACCAGGGGTTAAAAAAAAAATGGCATCAATGTAGGGGGTATTTTGCTAATAAATATAGCATATTGCTCAGTGCCAGCAGGTTGCTACCCGGACTGAAGCTGGCTGGGTTTATAAGCAACATACGCTATCGCCTGGCACTCGGTGCAGATGGTCCAAGACGGGTCCTGTCGTGCACGCCACGGGGGCCCAGAGCAGCCGCGGCAGCTGGCGCCACAGGCACCCTCAGCAGTCAGCGGGCACAGGCTTAGTGCATCCCCACCCGCTCACGTGGGCCCCTCTTTTCCAGCCCAGGTTGCTGCCGCGTTAGCCAGCGCCCGCCCCAGGCCCTGCCGGCATGGATGAATGGGACGTCCCACAGTGGAAGAAGGAAGTCGACAGCCTGAAATACCAGCTGGCTTACAAGAGGGAGATGGCGTCGAAGACAATACCTGAGTGAGTCGCTGCTTTCCCCCTGCCCCATCCTGATGGCCGGTCAGGCGCCAGATGTGGGGAGGGTAAGGCAGGGGGGAGATGGAAAGAGGATTTGCACTCCAGCATGCCCAGCCTGTGCTGCAAGGAGCAGGTCATAAGCACTGCTAACTCTGGCGGGATCCCTGCCCCGCTCCTCGTCCGGACACACTGCGCATAGGGACACGGTCTGGTTGTGAACCCTGCGTCCCTAGGGGCACCACCCTGCAGCCCAGCGTCAGCGCCTGAGCTGTGGGACATAGCCCTCACCTCTGCGTGGCCTCTTGGGCAGCTTAGCCACCCACCATCTCACTCTCCTCCTGCATTTTGGGGCATCCAGGTACCTAATGCAGGGCCTTGTGCCACAGGAGTGTGCAGCTAGGTTAGCCCTGATGGTGCGGGAAGGGGGGCGGGGATCGGCTTCAAGAGGAGACGTGGAGGGCACGTCCCGCTATGATGCCTGGCTGCTTGGGGGTGACGGCACGTGGCTGGCCTGTAGAAAACCTGGGCTCTGCTCACCAGGGCACGGTGAGAAAAGGTCCTCCGTGCAGGGTGCGAGTTTTCTACCGTTGTGGCGTCACGAAGAAGTCATGCAATGCAAAAGCAAGCGGCTCTTTGCAGAGAGCCGATGCCAGCGTCCCTTAAGCTTGCACCCACGAGGTGGGGGGATGCCTTGTTTCCGAATCCCGCTGGGGCTGGAGCCGCTCAGAAAGGGACTGTGGAAACGCGGGCATCGGGAGGACATTCAGGTCACCCAGGGATAGCAGCAGATTTGTGGTTTCTGGCTCCAAGTCCTGCATTAAGCATCTAAGTCCCTTTCTGGATCTAGCGCTGCCTGTCAATAGCATTGACTTGCCCGTGTCCGAGAGCCAAGGGGATCTTGGCGGGATCATTTATTAGACCTATTGTATAGCTGCTGGACAAGCTTTTCGGTATAAAGCCTCTGTCTTTGGCTCAGTAGCACCATCCCCACTGTGGGCAGACTGCAAAGGCAATTGCCTGCCCCGCACCATGGGCCGCATGTAGTGCTAATGCCTATGAAGACTCAGACCAGTGCATTAAACCGAAGCCCTGGACTGTGCCCAGGCTGCGGCTGTTAGGCTAATGTGGCTGCCAACCCCTGGGATTCAGGTCCCAACACCCCTCTTTTGATGGCTGGGTCTGTGCTCTCGCCCAGGGGGCTGCATGGGGCAGCACCACTGGACAAGCAGCAGCAGCCAGTCCTCCCCCCTGTCCAGTTAAGGACATACAGCTCTCCGGGTCCACCCTGGCGTCCACCAAGGCAGCAGCACCAGCTCTGCCCCCACTCCTGCTGTGTTGGGGGTCACAGAAGAGACGTCTCCTGCTGCCAAGGGCTCTGGTCCGGCTCTGCCGCTCAGCCCCGAGCCCTCGCGCCCTGGCCGCAGCAGTGAGCCCAGTGCAAGTGGTCAGCAACAAATGCAGGCTCCCAGAGGGTGGGCTGCAGTGGGTCATCATCAGCCCCAGGTCTTCAGGCTTTGCATTGCCATGGGGGCCAGAAAGCTTTTGCATGAACAGCCGAGGCAGTCGCGTACGTCACTGGCTTGCAGGAGCTGGGGCTTTAAAATACAAAACAATTACTCATGGGGGGACCTAGCTCCTCTGGGCTCCTGCTGTCCCCCCCAGCCACAGCATCCTTCCTGTTCCTCCGCACCCCTCTTTGCTGTGATGAACGTCTCGGGTTGACTCATTCAATAGCTGCTCGGGGGAGGCCGGTGGGGTACCTGAAACCCTGCTGCACCAGAGGCCATTGGGCGCTCGCTCTCCCTGGCCCTTGACTTTTAAGTCTGTGCCCTGTGGGGGTTCAGCTTCAACAGGTGACATGGAGGGCACGTCCCAACATGGTGCTTGGCTGCTGGCAGCGATGAGGTGCTTCCCCACCCTGTGTCCAGCTAGTTTCTCGAGGCTCCCATCCCAGGCACAATTAAAGAAAAGCAGGTTGATTCCTCCCCCACCCCCCACACCACCCCCCCCCACTAAACCCTGACTGACTGGGAGCCCCTAGGACATGGCTTTCCTGACCGCTGCAGCAAGCTTGCATTAGAGAAGAGCCACACGCTGAGTGGGACCGTCCTGCCTGCAGCATCTTTGTCTTGAGGGATGTCGCAGAGGCACCCGAAGAGCACAGAAAGCGTGTGCAATCACCGCGGGCCCACTGGGCAGCCCTCACCTCCCCTCCCCATGCCGAGCTGACGATGTGCTGCTTGCATAGGTGACGTGCTGCAAGTCGCACACCTGCTTGCTGATGCCGGTGCTTCAGCAACAGCTCACACATAGAGCTCGGCACTGAGCCACTCAGTGCTTCTTGGTACGGGGTATCTAGCCTTGCGGGCAGTGGGGGAGACGAACTGGGGTAGAGGAGGGATGATAGACCAAGTGAGCTGGGTAGATGGGTCCGAAACAGCTGGGTCCACAGGAAGACAAAGGGATAGAAATGCATGCAGAAGGAAAGGGGAAGACAGCGACACAGGTTGAAGCCCCCGACCCTGGGAGATTCCCGGGGAAGAGAGGATCCACTGGACAGCACATCTCAGGAGGAGGAAGGCGGCCTGGGTTGTCCTTGCTTCCTCTCCTCGCTCTTTAGATAGCACAGCAGCATCCCAAATCCTGAGAGCAAGGGACTGAAATCACCCAACGCCGTCTCCCTCGCAGGGGTCAGTGCTCAAAGTGCCACGAGGGGTTTGGTAGCAGGATGCCACCGAAACAGAGAGCAGTACCACTGCACAGCAGTGAAAAGGATGGTTTAACTCCCCCCCTCCCATAGTGTGGAAACAACAACATGCCCACTAAGCAGCTCTCCTCTGCCCTCCCTTCCCTCCACAGGCTACTCAAGTGGATAGAAGAAGGCATCCCTAACGACCCATTTCTGAACCCAGAGCTGATGAAAAACAACCCGTGGGTGGAAAAGGGCAAATGCACCATCCTCTGATGCATCTCCATCCAGGCCACCACCAACCTGCAACCACTGACAAATGGCTTCCTACTGAGATATTCAATCTTGCATTAATACTGAATGTACATTTTTTTTTTATTAGCTTCCTAATATGACTAACTGAACTGACCCTATCCTCACCTTGTCTTGTTATCTTTATTAGTAGAAGGGGCTCTTTTATACCAGGTAACTGAGAAAGCACAAGCCGCCGAGGCACCGTGGTAAGAGACACACTGTTAGAGAGACGTGCGGATTGGCAGTGTCACAACAGGAGACTCGATAGCAATAGCAAGCAAACAAAGCACCTCTCTTGACCCATTAAACTTCCATTGAACAACGCTGGCATTTCTGTAAAAAGAAAACAAAGACCTGACACAGCCTTTTTGAACTTGTAAAGGAAAAGGAAAACAAAACAAAACAAAAAAAAAAGATCTTTTATAACAAAATTTTCAATGGTTTTCAATACTTTTTGTATATTGTAGAATATACAACTTTGCAGCGAAGAGGCAAATATGAGAACTAAGGGTTTATACATGAAATAAAACCGAGCAATTACTTCACCGGGGTTTTTTTTTTTTACTTTTATTTTGTTCATATTTTACAAAAAAACCAACAACAGCGGGGTAACAAAGTAAGAAGGAGGCTCGTCCTCACAAGTGCCACGTAGCAGGCGGGGAGCCGAGAGGCAGGTTTTTCTTTCTGTTCTGCAACGTGCCATTTCCTCGGTTTTGCGGCTTCTCGCTAGAGCAAGTCCTTAACGTAAAGATTGCGCCTGACGGCGTTCGAAACGCCCTCGTTAAATCGGAACCACACGTCGCTCTTCCCGACAGCCTTCCCGATCTGCTTCTCGACAGAGTCCTGCTCCGATGCTGGACTGGCCGCTGCTAGGCAGGGAAGGTGGGAGGGGAGAAGAAACCGTATTATGATTAAATTGAGGGACTAAAGCAGGGTGCAAATCGTTAGCCTAGGTCACGGACCTTTGAGGAAGTAACAGAGGCAAGGGATCCTATATGGACTGTTGCCTTGCTACATATGTGGTCCCATAGATAAGGTATCCAGATTGCAGCCGTATGGGTCTAGAGGAAAAAAGCATTCAGGCCTCGTGGTAGAGGTAATCTCTTTTATTAGACCAACTAGATTATTGCAAAAAAAAAAAAAAAAAAAAAAAAAAAA